ACGTCATAATTCTTCTTCCAACTCCCAGGGCAGAGTTAAAATGGTTTGAATTATTTTTTCTGGTTAGCGTTTTTTTGGCAAGTTAGATTTCAACGGAATGGGGCCGCCAACCCCATGTCCAACCCTCCTCCTTTATCCGGGCTTGGGACCGGCAGTAGCCCCTAAGGTTCTACTGGCGGAGTTACCGCATTACTCAACTAACTATTAATTTATCTTTTTATTAGATTCGTGGCGTTCTCATGAAGTTGGTCCTCTGGACTAACTGAATGAAATTATATGTAATATCCTCACAAAGCGAGATTAAATATCCAGCATTCGCACACACAACAGTTTCTGTTTATATTGTTGTAAAATGTCACCTATATAAATTTTAAGGTCCTTCGAATATCTAATACGTAAATTAAGAATGGGGTTGTCAGTGATAATGATGTTCAAGAGTGCAGGTTCATGTACTACATGCATATTTTTAAGGTGATTTTCCGTATGAATAAGTTACTGTTGCTCACTCGCATTCCTCGTTTGATATTTTTTTCATTTTTAAATATATAAATTAGTTTTTCTTTGATAGGTTATACGTATAAGATGCGAGAGGTAATCATAAAAGTCTTGAAGATGTAGAAAGTTTAACATTATATAGTATATGCATACATGTGTAACACATACATTATGCTGTCGTTCAGGCAATGGATGTAATCTCCAGATACTATTTAGTATCTCATTTTCTTAACTCTTATATAACTTAAGTCTAAAATCTTGGCCGCGAAAGTTGCAGGCCTGTACAGTTTTCCTACCTTAAGCTTTGGTTAACCTTTTAGATAATCTATTGGGTCATATGAACACAGTAAAGGCCGATGTTGTTTTAATGCTGACCATCAGCAGAATAGGATCGCTTCCTAGAGGGCATTTGCTTCAAGTGTTTTAAGGCACTTTTTACACAATCTTTTGTGTGGTTTTCCAGGTTTAGGACATGTTAGTGATAACAGCGAACGCACATTAACTTTCAGTCGATCTCTTATATGTTCAAAGGTTCTTAGGAAACATATTCTCACATATTCATACTTTTGAATTAATCTGGCTTGAATGGATTGCGAAAAGCGAGACTTAAATATTCCATCGCCTGGTTTTCACCAGATGTTCTATTAATTTGCAAACATCGACACATCGAAACTACAGCAAATATTTCGTGCAGTTAACGCTTACCTCAAAATACATGAAACCAATAAATTATTATGTTGACATGACTGTACATGGACTGTGAAACAGATAGTTCAGACTATGTCGAGTCTATAGCAATCAATACATTATCCTAATATTCTCACGATATCTTCGTGTAGTTATTGTCTACAGAAACATAGGTAACGGTGTCACTTTGCCAAAGACTATCTAGAACAGTTAAAAACTTTCAAATAAAGTTGTTATTATTTGAAATCGACCAAACCTTGCTGGTCTGATGAGTTGAGTCTATTTTGTCTCGGAAACTACCTTGGAAACAGTATTTCAGACCAAGGTAAATAGAGTGCATGAGATTTGGTGAATCTCAAAACCGGGATTTTCATAGAGGACTATCTTAGGTACACTTCTCTCCTTGATATTTATTAATGACTTTTTAGATAAAGTTAAATCAGTGCCATTAATCTATGCGGACGACGCAAAGATCTGGAGGTGCAAAAAAAGGTTCATTTGGGCTTCAAAAGAATCTTACGGCAGTAGAGGTACGAACAATGGATGATAGCTTAAAAATTACTTTCTCCTTGAAATACATTCTGAACCATGGATTTCTTTCTAAAATTGGTGACGGGCTAGTAATAAGTATTCAGTGGTGATCATAGTCAATCTCGACTCGACCACCACTAAACCTTAATGGAAGTCTGCTCTTTAGTATCGCGCCCATTCTCCTTAAAGGAGATATAAATCTCCAGAACCGATTGTAGAGACGAGAAACTAAACGGAAAAGTTGCGCATCAAAGAGCGAACACCCAGATTCCTGCACGTTTTTTATAATTAATAGTTGTTGCAACTTGGGATGCTCTCCCAGCTGAGGTGACCACAGCCTCGTCAGTAGACAGCTTTAAGAAGAGGCTTGATAAACATGTTCTCACATACAGATTCTCATCCCCATCGTGGACCGGCCGTGCCTGATGTATGTCTTGAGATATGCAAGTCGTTATTATCACCATTTCCTCAGATCACTAATTTGATTTAACTCGCTTGAAGATTCTTTTAACCTCTTCCTCGGTTACTCTTTTATCCTCGGGCACTATCCTTATTAACAGCTAATTAACTTACCTATCCATCTATTTACTTGGTTCTGAAATTTCCGTCTCCTCATTAGAATTAGAATTTTTTCCTGGTTATTCTTCACATCGCACCTAGTTGACCTTTGACCTGATAATGTGGTAGCTTCTGGTATCCAGAAACCCTACTACCTTCAGACAGATGCTTATTCAAATCACGGGACATGCAAACTCACAAACAACTACCAAGTGACTGGAATTAGTGAAGTCAAGTGGCTAGACATTGATCCATTTATCACTACCAAATACCTGGGATCGCACCGAAAGAACAAAAATCGGGCGCAAAGAAATCAGTTAGTTTATACAAGCTCGTGATAAAGATATTGCGTATTAGATGCTGTTGGGGCAATTTACTAGTTGAGATAATTTTGAAACATGCTTGAATGAAGTACATTAGGTATGACTTTTGGGATTACTTATTCGAACAGTGTACGTACACTGAAAATTTAATATGGGTATATAAAACGAATGGGCTCGACCTAACTCTCAGGTATATTTTCGTCAAATTTGTTTGTACGTATGCATGTGGATAACAATGCTGATTAACATTCTTCAGATGATTTTACACCTTCAAACTCAATACCAAAACTTAGGCAAAGAAGGCGAATTCGGTCATCTGTGTATGCTACATGTCTGAATATTGCAACTACCAATGTGGACTATGAGTTCGTGCAGTAAATGGTGAGCTGAATGTCACTTTCATTAAAACCATTTAAAAGCATGCTTGTAAAGAATGGTATATTTCTGTTTGTCCTTCAAGACAGCAGTTGACCTCAAGTGAACGATTGTATTTAAGACCAATTCTGTTGAGTAACACACCGAGTCTTAGCATTCAATAGCATTTTCTTAGGAAGTTCCTCAAACAGCTTACCAACGATAATGTTGCAAAAATGAAATTGCACTTGTATCTAGGTTGTAAACCTCCGATCTGATTAACTGATTTTAAACAGTAATTTGCAAAGGATCCAGTCCAATACGGAAAAAATAGGTTCCAAGAAAATAGGTTTGTGTGATCTTTAACGTTTGAACCATAGAGGGAACAAATCGTGATTCATATGTATTTTCTGTTGTAAACCTAATCAGATGCTTAGGATTTGCCTGTATTTTTTCTGCTAGCTTCATCTGAAAGCATCTGCTATCACTTCGAATCTCGGCGTTGCATCTATTTCTCAATGTCGAGTAAAAATTACGGTCGGGATCCTTCAAAGAGACTTTCTACTTATTTCCATCTCTCCTTTTCGCCTTTAGCAAGCATTCAGTGCCTCGCTGGGCCCAAGTCCTATTTTCTAGTGTGTTGTGTGCTTGGGGTAAATTGTTTAGGACAGCGTTCTGTTTACCAGAAATCATCTGCTGTTATCCCCCATCATTCCCGTGGCCATGGGGGGTGTATAAGTGTAGTTTGCCCCAGTGTGGAAGGGGTGGGACTCGTTTTCTTCCTGCCTGAGTACTTCATTTATGACTATGTTAAACAAGACTGTGCCATGGTCACTACTTTCTATTGGTGTTTGGACGTGGACATTCTCATTCATGAGCAAATCATTTGTTAACAAATAGTGGAAGTTTGAGGATTTCCCCTCTTTAGTCCATCTAGTCAAGCTGCATACATGCTCAGTCACCCCAGAGCTTCTAATGGCTGTGCCAAGTCGTCTTTGGAACCAACCAGTGAGAGTTGTACCCTGTCTGTTGAGATTTAGAGATGGAGTGTTGAAATCTCGAGCTAAGAGTATTCGATCAAACCCTAGGAGTGGACGCTGTGGCATTGTCTCAGTCAGTTTATCTTTCTGGGCCTTAGTAATTGACGGGGGGTCGGTAAGACCCTCAAATCAATATTTTGTGCTGTTTGTGTTGAAACAACACCAACATGATTCTGTCACCTCGGTCACTTGGGTGCCATGTAGTCTTTCAGCTTTGAATATACATATTAGCCACTCCGCCTCCTGTCTGGTATACGCTATCGCTTGGGGAGTGTCACGCCTCGCAAGCCTACTTAATCGTCTGCGATGTTGGAGGATAGCCATGTTTGAATTAGGATTAAGATCCTCAGATCCATCTGAGAGTGCATATTCTTGATTTCCAACAACTTACTCATCAGGCCTCTTACATTGTTACTGAGGCACTTGGTGTGTCTCACCAGCTGGTGCACCTCTACAGCAGCAGCAGCCGTTGTCGGATTGTCAAACAAGTTGTTCACACCAATTTATATAGTTCTTTGGAAACTGGTCGCTGAAGGTCTTTTACCTGTGTATTGCATTCAGTCGTCAAGACCATTATCCTCGCATCCTGTGTCGTGGATTATCGATCGAGGTCAACTTTGAGCTTTTTGGCCTGTCTGTTGTTGTCTCACAGGTCTAGGTTAGCTCTCGCAACACCTAATGTGCTAGAGAGGTTGTTCTTTATTTTGAAACAAGCCCGAAGCGTCTAGGTTAGGTCGTACTGATTTCTTAAGTCCACAGCCATCAGGCGTGGAGACGAAATAGTCGTAAGGTGTGACGAACGAGACAGCATGATATCGTTAAATATTCATCCTATATCATGCATCACTAACATAGCATCTCTTTCGTTACTTGAATGATGGAGGTTATCGTTAATGGCGTGGCAGGACTAAAACCAAATTTACTAATGACTTGATTTGACTGCTTGTGGATAGTCGATTTGACGCACCAATCGTTTGTTACCAATTTGACCTTCTGGTGCTCAGCAACCTCCACTAAAGGACGATGCTTCTAGGTCGTTGTCGATGTACTTTCAGACTGAACACAAGCCTACCATTGGCCAAATGTCATAATTTCTGTGGTTTTTATGTGGATAATCCAGGCACACTTATTTATATATTGTTGAGGCAGTAGTGTTTAGGGCACTCCTAGACTAATATTTCTCAATATCATTAGTAAAAGAACATATTTTCCAAAAGGTGGAGGCATATTGGCCAATTAAACTCAAAAACAACAGTTTATTGGAGATAATTGTGTTCATTAATGCTGTATGCTACCTAAGGGCCATTTGTTGCTTCAAAACTAAGGCTAGGTATCTCTGAACCTCAAGTGTACTTGAATCATAATCTAACTAACCATTCCGGTTTTCGTGAATCCAAAACATCTCTGTACAATACATTTCGGTATATTGCAATATGATCTATGATTTTCAATGTATTTTATGTTAAACCTGACTATTTGTAACAGCTTTCAAATCCTGTAACTATATTGGGCTATAAGACAATAATGTTTGATAGCTGCACAAGAGTTCTTTAATTGTTAGGTGTTTACATATTATGTAATGTGTGAGTTATGCTCCCATGTGGGCTAGTGGAATAGGGAGTAAATATTTGTCTGATACATGCATTAACTTTTTTACGAGCTAGTATGAACCAATTAATTACTTTGCTCTCGCTTATTGTGTCGGTATGTTTTGGGGTATTTGCTATTGTAGCTGGCACCAGAGACCAGAACATGTGTAAAGAAGTACCTTTCCAGTCACCGTGTTCGCAAAATCGAAAATATAGATTTCTGAAATATATATTAAGTAGTTAAGCATTTATAAAACTTAAATGCTATCTTCTAGCTTATTTCGGTGCTGCCTTAGTGATTAGGGCTTACCAGGTTTCCAGGTTTGGCCTGTTACCCCCAATGGAGCATAGGCCGCTCACCAGTTTTCTCCAACCAACTCTGTCCTGGGCTTCCCTCTCCAGTTCTGTCCAATGTTTGTTCATTCCTCTCATATCTTTCTCTATTTCTCGGCGTAGTGTGTTCCTTGGCCTTCCTCTTTTCCTTTTGCCTTGAGGGTTCCATGTGAGGGCTTGTCTCGTGACGCAGTTGGGTGCTTTTCGTAGTGTATGTCCTATCCACTTCCACCGCTTCTTCCTGATTTCCTCCTCCACTGGAATCTGACTTGTTCTCTCCCACAGTTCGTTGTTGCTGATGGTGTCTGGCCAACGAATACGAAGTATTTTGCGTAGACAACTGTTATTAAACACTTGTATCTTCTGAATGATGGCTTTGGTAGTTCTCCGTGTTTCCGCTCCATACAGTAGAACTGTCTTGACATTTGTATTGAAAATCCTGATTTTGGTTTTGGTTGAATGTTGTTTGGAGTTCCAGATATTTTTCAACTGTAGAAATGCAGCCCTTGCTTTGCCAATCCGCGCCCTCACATCTGCGTCCGATCCACCTTTCTCGTCGATGATGCTGCCAAGATATGTGAAGGGCTTACCACTAAGTTACTTTATCTCACAATCAAACAAAGCCTACTCCGGTATGGTTAGCCAGGCAAGATCAGTCGCTTTGCTTAAAGCTGAGTACTCAAACTCGTACATTAGTTAGCTAGTTATGCTTACCATCAACTTTTTTTCCAAGTATAAAATGTACTCTAAGCGATTTGATTATATACGTTTTACTTATCTGACTGCCATTTGCATTTTTGTTATGTAAATAAAGTTATACAAATCGATTTTTATCATTACTGAAAGACAAGTAATGTAAATTAAGATGGGTTGGTTTTATAAAACGATGTTTATATGATTTTTCTAGCATACACTATCTGCAGCATGTAAGGGATATCTATGTGTCTACGAAATAGTTGATATCCTGTTAAACAGTATACTTTATATCTATAACTACTGGTAGAAAAAGACATTTGTTAGAAGTATATAAAGATAAGCGCATGTAAAGTTTCACTGACATTCGGTAGAACGTTTGAGTTAACAAAATCAATATTGAGTTGTCGATGCGAAGTAAGAGTATTTAATCAGTCGGTGATCTTTTGAATTTACATTCACTGTACTAATTAAAACTTGCATATTGTTATAAAAAAACGGGATGTATTTGTTGAAATAAACCTATAGTGAGATTGTCCTTCGAAGTTGTAGCCGAAGATCAGGTAATGGTAGGTAGTTAGAAATACTCTAAGAAAGAGAAATGCGGTTCTTGGAAAGTTAGGATTCTTATTTGACTACTTGGCTAACTTGTTTTAGTTGTTTGCATACTGTAAAAAAAGATTTAATCTGTAATCACCAAGCATTTTTGAAAAAGCATTCGAACACAGCAAACTATTTACTTTGAAAACTATGATAAATATATTGTACCACAGCCAAATACATTCCTACAGACAGACAGATACAACGCAGAACTTCGTACGTAAGTATATCACTTCAGGTTGCCATTCCCCATCAGCAAACAGACGCAACTGTCAGTTCAAATCCAACAGTGATAGCAATAATAGAAGGATTAGCAGTAATGATGAAGATTAGGGAGCGAATATACGATTCGAGAAGTATAATTCAGTAAGATAGAGAATATGAGGAATTCAGAAGGTTAGGATTAGAGAGAACACAAAGAGTGGATGCACCTGCGCCATTGCAAACGATTCTCAGCCATGTCGTTCAAGGTCTCTAACCATCGGTGACTTACGTCTCGCGGACCACAATCAGGTAGCCTACATCTACCAACATGACTCAGTCCATTTGTCAGTGACTTCATGGATTTCTGTCATGTTTTGGTTTGGCCGACCCTAGCTTTGACCAAACCTACTCCTACACTGCAAAACATAGCTCGTCGCGGCAGTCAGTGGCTAGCCATACTTAACACATGTCCTAACCACCTCAACTGATGAAGTCTCACTACTTCATCTATTGAATAGCCATCCCCACCTAGAATTCGTTTCTTAATGACATCATTGCTTATACAGTTGTCCCATGATACATGAGCAATGCTTCGGAGACATCGATGATCGAAGACTAGTAACCTACGAAAGTCCTCTATAATATTAAAGATTCCCATTGTGAAAATTAGAACAACACATATAAACTAACAATATTATTTTCAGTTAGATCGTCATCAGGCTTACTCTAATATAAATAAATTGATTTTGATAATTAGTACCTATTGTAGGTATAGAATTGCGTCTGTTTAAAAGTCATTGCTTTAAGGTTATTCATACTTTAGCTTCTTTGTTATTGACTTATGATTGTTATAATTTATTGTTGAAATTACCTTTTAATAACTTTAGATTAAATCAAAACACATAAACAATGTTTACTACAATGGATGTATATGATGCAGCTTTATCGATTGGTCGTGAATGTCAATTAATTGTTGATGAATATGGTGATGATATATTAAGGGATATAATGCCAAAAATAGTTTATATTTTGGAAGAATTAGAAGCATGTACTAGTTATTGTGATAAAGAAAAAGAAGAAATTGCACGTCTTCAAACAGTTGCAGATGAACTTCGTGAAGATCAAAAATCTGATATTATACAAAAAGATAAATATGATAAAGTTAGTTCATGTTGTTAGATATTTGATTTAGTATAATTTAGTTCGCATATATATATATATATATATATATATATATATATATATATATATATATATATATATACTTTAGGTAGTTTTACGGTTCGTTGTTTAGTGGCTGTAGAGGTTTTATTTACATAAGTTATTTCCCACTACGTATCCTTGTTTTCATTGAGGGATAAAGTTCACTAGTAATCAAGAAGCTGTAAATTGATGTTGTATATCTCATTGGTATTATTTACTTAGCATACATCTGAAACGCTTATACTGTGCAGTGGTTCGCTCCGTCTTACTTTATAGCTGTGAAACATGGCCAATGAGAGTAGAAGATATTCGTAGGTTACTGGTTTTCGATCATAGGTGTCTTCGAAGCATTGCTCGTATATCGTGGGACACCCGAGTGAGCAACGCTGTTATTAGGAATCGGGTGCTAAGTAATAGTGGCAGATCAATAGATGAAGTAATGAAACTTTATCAGTTGAGGTGGTTGGGACATGTGTTGCGTATGCCCAACCGCCGACTGCCTCGTCGAGCTTTGTTTTGTAGTGTAGGAATAGGTTGGAAGAAAGCTAGGGTCGGCCAAACCAAAACATGGCAGAAATCCATGAAGTCATTGACGAGTGGACTTAGCCATGTCGCCAGTTGTCGACTACATGGTTGATAATAATCGATGGTTAGAGACCTTGAATGACATGACTCAAAATCGTTTGCAATGGTGCCGGTGCATTTATTCTTTGTGTTCTCTCAAATCCTAATTTTCTGGATTCTTCAACCCCTCTAGTTTCGACTTTCTAAACTTTTCTCACTGAATCATACTTCTTGAATAATATCTTCTAATCCTAACCTCTCCGATTACTTCTAATACCTTAACTACCTCTTCTACCATTGGATTTGAATTGACAATTACATCTCTGTGCTGATGTGGTATGGCGACATGAACTGATGTACTTACGTACGAAGTTCTACATTGCATCTGACTGACTGACTGAAACGCTTAACGAAAATGTGTGTACTTCAGCTATTATTATTATTATTATTGAAATTTAAGCTTTTCCTACTTTGATAGCATACAGTTAATAATATACTAGAAAAAAATAAACTAAAGTTTTTCTCAGAACTACTTATTAATTAAAAATTACATTTCCTTATAATTAATCATAGAGTTTAGAACAAATTGAACAAAGTTGGTATTGTGAAAGTCAAAAATTATTACAAGAAATTGCTGAATTAGAACAAGAAAATGTTCGTTTAACACATCAATTAATTTCTACTTGTCATAAAGAAATTAAAGAAGAGAAAGATTTTGATATTTTACAAAAATGTGTTGTATGTAACGAGTCGGGCGATAATTGTTCCATATGTCATCATTCAAAAGTAGGTGCTTTTCTATTAGCAACAGCAAAGCTGGGTCCTGAAATTGTTTCAACTAATCTTGACATGGATAAAATTTATGATAAATTAAAAAATAAACAAAATGAAGAAGAATTATCAAATATGATGTCTAGTTTATTGATTGAAACAGAAGAAAGAATACAATTAACTGAACAAGAAAGTAGGTTCTTATTTTCAATTGGTTGAATCAATACATGTTTGGTGAGAGGAAATTAAAATTTAACCCCAAGAAGATAGTTTTTTTTTCTGAAATTTAGAAAATATGATCATGAGGATTCAACTCGTCTTTCCAGAAGACAAGTTATTGCTGTAAGAGAACTTTTGTCATTCTTTATAGAACTGGGACAATCAGCGATTAGAAATCACTCTGATAGGATTGGGTCCAGTCCAGTCCTCAAACACCAGCTAAAAGTCTGAGTCAATCTAACTGCTAAAACTGGATCACTGTCCTTGGAAATCTTAGGAGTTAATCTATCTGGGCCTGCTGTTCTCTTTCGCTTTAGATTTCTTATAGCATTTTCAACATGGTTAAGAGTTGGAGGACATATTATGAACTTGCCATACAGGTTGACTTAAGATCGCGACTGGGTGTTAGTTGAAATGCTCCCTAAAGTGTTCTGTCTATCGATTTAATCTACTAGATTGAAAATGAATAATAGTTCGGTCTTTTTTCGAAAGTTTCCTAATGTCAGTTTCCTTGATAATTCTGAATAGTTATCTACTGTTGCCACTGCGCAGTAGTTCGCTCAATTCTCCTATATGGTTGTGAAACATGGCCAGTCAGAGTAGAAGATATTCGTAGGTTATTAGTATTTGATCATAGATGTCTTAGAAGCATTGCTCGTGTATCCTGGGACAACGGAGTAAGCAATGCTGTCGTTAGGAAACGGGTGCTAGGTAAGGGTTGTAGGTCAATAGATGAAGTACTAGATCTTCATCAGTTGAGGTGGTTGGGACATGTGTTACGAATGCCCGACCACCGACTGCCACGACGAGCTTTGTTTTGAGGTGTAGGAGCAGGTTGGAAGAAATTTAGGGGTTGCCAAATCAAAACATGGCAGAAATCCATGAAGTCATTGACAAGTGGACTGAGTCATATTGGTAGATGTAGGCTATCTGGTTTGGGTCCGCGAGACGAAAGTAATCGATGCTTAGAGACCTTGAATGACATGGTTCAAAATCGTTTGCAATGGCGCAGGTGCATCCACTCTCTGTGTTCTCTCAAATCCTAATCTTTTGGATCGGTCAACACCTCTACCTTTGTCTTTCTAAACTTATCTCACTGAATTATACTTCTTCAATAATATCTTGGAAGCCTAATTTCCTCCTTAACCAGTAGTACTTCTACTATCTCTACCACTCGTGGATTTGAATTGACAATTGCGTCTCTGTGCTAATGTGGTGTGGCTGCATGAACTGATGATGTAATTACGTACGAAGTTCTACGTTGCAGCTGACTGACTGATTTACTGTTGCCTATCACTGCTGCTTCTTTAATTTCATTACTTTCGCTACCCACCACTGTTCGCGATCATTGCGCAGGCTTCTTATCAGCATGTGTTTAAGCTGGTTACACTCTTGGTCATGTTGAGAGCCAGGTGGTTTGAGTTTCCGAGCATCTATCAGGTCATTCAATGATAATGAGATCCACTGTACTTCCTAACCTTTCGGTTCAACTAACCGAAAGATATCACTGCTGTTTCCACAGCATTTTGGATATTATTCCAAGTCACCTCAGGGTAGGCATCACTTACATGGATGTCTAACTTTTTCTAGTTACTCCTGAAATATATTCTTAGCTTTGTTGTCCTTAAGGAAAACTCTGAGGGGTTTCCTTGCTGTCTTTCTGACTCCACAAAACATGCTCGTATTAGAGCATGTGTGTTTCTAAATGAGTGGCAGTCTTCTATCGAGCAACTTGATTGGTCTCAGTTTCTCTTGATCTAACTACATCAGCATTAAAATCACCAGCCACTATTACTACATTGGAGCGTGTAGCACCTCACATATATTTTGTACTTTTATCATTATTGACCTTGTATGCGAATTTATGCTTGGGCATTGTTTACCGCCTACACACAGTCAAACTACTAGCTTTATTGCTTAACTGTTTAAATCATTCGATGGCAATATCGACTATATATATTTGTATTAAATCCGATATTTTTATCAGTCAGTCACTATATTTTGAATAACAAAGCAATTGTAGCAACGACTTGTGTTCTGTAGTAACGGTCGTAAGGACGGAGATAAACGGAATTTAGAAGATACAGAAAGTTCGCCGACACAAGCGCTTAGCTTTTTGAAGGGTGAAAAGCTTTCCGTAAATTTCATCTTTTAACCTCATCTGAGCTGCAGTCAGTGAGAGCGTAGGTGTAGGGACAACAAAGAGGCAACGACGCGTGTCTCTATATTTCCGACCCCCGTTTAGTTAGACGGCTCGTAAGCGGACATCTGATGGAATCCAGTCTAAGAAAGCGATTTCGGCCTTAAAAATTGGTGCAATACCTACACCAGCGAGGACACGGGAAGCAGCATTGAAGCTTCCAAATATATGTACGGGTTGTGGTGAATCGTGACGGTTCTTTCTTTTGACAAATAGGGTCAAATGAATATCTTTAGTCGGATCCTGTATGCACAGTTCAAAGAAGCAGCATAGATTAATGGCACAAGATTCTGAGAGTCCTTGCTAAGGAAGAAGCCTGTTGTTCTATTTGGCACAAGGTCCGGACATTAAAAGCTTCGATATATAGTTTAGAATGGGGTTTCAACGGACCAGGAATAACATTTCATGTACTTGAATCGTTAACATCAGTGACATGAGTTGATATAGGAATGAAAGAGGAGTTAATCGTGAAGATATGGGGATTGTTAAGATGTGAGGCAAGAATTTGACTGAGCAATTTGTTCTCGTGTGCTGTTAGGGGTATAAGGGTGAATAGATTGTACAACTAATATTTGCTTATTGAATAATATTAAAAGCACAGAGTAAGCGATGGGTAAGCTGTATAGTAATAATGTGTGATGGTGAAAACGAAATGCGATTGATTGGTCACGGATCGTAAACAAAAACAGGCATTTAGCCTATTGGCTATTTTAAATGTATGGTTTCTTTTCCTGTTTTATTGATTTCTACTCCATATTTACTGTGACTGTCATTGTATGAAACAAAATATTGACAATAGGTTACTCTGTGATTTATTTGGTGTGCTTTAATATGATCTAGTCCCTGTCTAGTTTGTCTTTCAAGTATTCTAATCCAATGGTAACTCTGTAAACTGCTTAATCTCATTATATTGTATTACCATAGTTATCACAAAGTCACCGTCATAATAATTACCTTTATATAAAAATAAGACAAAGTGAATGAAAATGGTTTATTTAAAAGATTTCATTAAAGTTTTGATATCTTATTTATTTTTCATAGATCGTGTAGCTGATCTTCAATTAATTCAACAATTAAAAGAATGTGTAGCAATTAATTATAAGACTGCACGACAAATTCGTCGTGATTTAACTGAAACCGGTGCTTCATTAGATGCAGTAAGTGAATCAGAACGATGATGATGATGATGATGATGATGAGCATGTCTGATTTTTTTCTTTTCGTATTCACAATGTTCTTATGAGTATTAAGGACAACCGTATAAGCAATGCTGTCGTTAGGAAACGAGTACTAGGTAGGGATGGCGAATCAGTAGATGAAGTATTGAAAATTCATCAGTTGAGGTGGTTGGGATGTGTGTTACGTATGGCTAACCACTGACTGCCTCGATGAGCTATGTTTTGCAGTGTAGGAGTAGGTTGGAAGAAAGCTAGGGGCGACCAGACCAAAACATGACAGAAATGCATGAAGTCACTAACAAGTGGACTGAGTCATGTTGGTAGATGTAGACTAACTGGTTGGGGTCCGCGACACGATAGTCACCAGTGGTTAGAGACCTTGAACGACATGACTGAGAATCGTTTGCAATGGCGCAGATGCATCCACTCTTTGTGTGCTTTTTAATTCTAACCTTCTGAATTCCTCATAATCTCTATCTTTCTCCTTCTAAATTTAGCTTACTGAATGATACTTTTCGAATCATATCTTTGCTGCCTAATCTTCTCTATTGCTGCTAATAATTCTACTATCGCTATCACTGTTGGATTTGAACTGACAGTTGCGTCTCTGTGCTGCTGTAGTATGGCAACGTGAACTGATGTACTTACGTACGAAGTTCTGCGTTGTATCTGTCTGTCTGTCTATGAGTATTAAATCCTGTGTTATGCATGCCTAATCACTATTTAAATATTCAGTCTGTTTTTCCCTCTGGATCTATGGAATTATTGTAATCCGTTGTTAGTTGAGACTTTACAACTTTTAACCTTTAGTCTTTTCGATTATCGCTAATACTATGCTACATACACCCTTTACCACTATAGTATTTGAATTGACAATTCAATCTCTTTGTGTTAATATGGTATGTGAACTTGAACTGATGTATGTATGATGTGATGTACCAAGTTTTATATTGTAGCTAACTGACTGAGATTTCACGTAACCTATTGCTTATGTTTTTGTCTTTTTTCACTATCATTGACATAATAATAATAATAATAATAATAATAATAATAATAATAATAATAATAATTGCTTCGATCCATTTGATTTCTGTTTTACTGAATGTCAAACGAGATAAAAGATGGGTTTTACACAAACTTCTCTAACTTTCTTCAAAAAGGTTAGCGCCATGATATAGTAATAATGGCCGATGATTTCACTGTTCAAGTAGGTAGACTAAATGAAAAGGAAACACCTGTGTGGATCTTATGGTTTCAGAGCTCAACAATCAGATAATGGTGACCGCCTACTGCAGCTATGCTCAGATAATAATCGCCTGACAAACTGTTGATCATGAGGTTCTGTGGCAGTCTGCCGTTAAAAGGTGTGCCAGAGAAGTACATGAACCCTATACAAGCTCTCTACTCGAACACCACTGGTCGAGTAAGGGCTTATGACGAACCTTCATCGGAATTCTTTACTTCAAGTGGTGTCCGTCAAGGCTGTCCACTCTCTCCATTCTTGTTTAACTTTATCATAAACTTGCTTTCAAAGTTGACATCATCCTTGTCAGACTTTTCTGGGGTGGACCTTCTCCTAGGAGACACGCTTGTTGACCTAGAATATGCAGATAACAGTTCTATTTGATGAAGACGCTGACAAAATGCAGTCTTCTGGCTAGCCTAAGCAACAATGCAAGCATGTTCGGAATGCGGTTTTCCCTCTCGAAATGCAAAGTGTTGCTTCAAGATTGGGTCGCATATGCATCTGAACTAGTGATAGGGAGTGAAGTAATTGAGCGTGTAGACCGCTTCATTTATCTTGGAAATCTCATCAGTGCTGATATCCTGATGACTGCCGTAATCTCAGCACGGATACAGAAGTCTCGATCGGCTTTTGCCAACCTGCGTCACTTATGGCGTAGGCGAGATATCCGTTTGCTGACTAAAGGACGAGTGTACTGCGCAACAGTTCGTTCCGTCCCACCTTATGGCTGCGAAGATATTCATAGGTTACTGGTTTTCTATCATAGGTGTATTCAAAGCGTTGCTCGAGTATCCTGGGACAACCGAGTAAGCAATGCCGACCGACCCGACCGTAGCTGCTACCTTGACGTGGTGGTCGGGCTTGCCTATCGTGATGACCCAACCGAGCTATATTGTCTGGAACATATGTTTCTGTAGGTTCTACTGTGCCAGGCAGGTCGATTGCAGAACGGTGAGACTAAAAGCAACAACTGAAGGTCTGCGGGTGAAGTCGTACTGCTGACTGTGATGGAGAGGTGTGACAGCAGTTAGGTATTTCCCTCACACAGCATGTGCAGCGATTCTGCCTTCTCACAAGGAAGGAAGGGTTAGAAAAGGTCGGCTCTAGAAATGTCACATCTCACCTTACGTCACGGATTTCCGTCTCCAGTGGTAAGATCTTTCGAAGAGCGGAGCTAATACCTTAAAAACTTCCCATTAAACGTCTTGCGTGATTAACCTCAAGCAGTTGTCCCTTGGACTCTGCGATCACGCTCCCAGGTCGCTCATACCAACGCTAACCCAATTTCATTTCTAGGTTTCTCAAGAAGTACTCTTCCACGATGTGGGCAGCCGGGAAGTGACAGCCGCTCTCATACCCGTAAAAGCACACGAACTCAGAGAACAAAACCTTCCCTACCATTGTCAAACACCAAACCAAATCATAAGTTTTTTTTTTAGAAATTTTTCAGTTAAACAGAAAGCTCAAATAAATTGGTAAACTGTTGTTATTTTCACTTTTTATAAGCCTTTATAGGCTTATCTGGGGAGTCTCATCAGTGCCGATGGCCTGGTGACTGACGAAATCTCAGCTCGGATACAGAAGGCTCGATTCTCTTTTGTCAATCTACGTCACCTATGGCGCAGGCGAGATATCCGTTTGCTAACCAGAGGACGAGTGTACTGTGCAGTAGTTCGCTCCGTCTTACTTTATGGCTGTGAAACATGGCCAGTCAGAGTAGATATTTGTAGGTTACTGGTTTTCGATCATAGGTGTCTTCGAAGCATCGCTCGTATATCGTGGGACACCCGAGTGAGCAACGCTGTTGTTAGGAAACGGGTGCTAGGTAAGAATGGCAAATCAATAGATGAAGTGGTGAAACTTCATCAGTTGAGGTGGTTGGGACATGTGTTACGTATGGCTAACCACCGACTGCCTCGAAGAGCTTTGTTTTGTAGTGTAGGAGCAGGTTAGAAGAAATTTTGGGGCGGCCAGATCCAAACATGGCAGGAATGCATGAAGTCACTGACAAGTGAACTGAGTGATGTTGGTAGATGTAGGCTACGTGGTTGGGGTTCGCGAGACGAAAGTAACCGATGATTAGAGACCTTGAACGACATGGCTCAAAATCGCTTGCAATGGCGCAAGTGCCTCCATTCGTTGAGCTCTCTCAAATCCTAATCTTTTGCATTCTTCGACACCTCTTTTTGTCTTTCTAAACTTATCTCACTGAATCATATTTCTTGAATAATATCTGCTAATCCTAATCTCTCCGATTACTTCTAATACCTTTACTACCTCTTCTACTATTGGATCTGAATTGACAATTACTTCTCTGTACTGATGTGGTATGGCAACATGAACTAATGTACTTACGTACGAAGTTCTACGTTGCATTTGACTGACTGATTTATAAGCCTTTATCATTGTAAAATCCAATGTGGCTGGTTTGTTTATGATTTTTCTTTTCCTAAAAGAAGTGATGTATGATGATTAACGATATAAATGTTTTTATCAAAGTATTTATTTATTATTAAGCTTGTTTTGTTGTCGTATGAATTTCTTTTCTGTTTTGTTTGTTTTTTTCAAAAGTCCGAAGAAGAAGTTTGTCGTTTAGCTCGTCAAAGTGGTCAATTAATGGCATCTTGTGCTCCACATAGACGTCAAACTGGTCAATTAGTCGCTGAGAAAGCTACACTTGAAACAAAATTATGCATAAAAGAACGTGAATTAGCTAATTTATTGAAAGATTTATCAACTAGCGACTTGTCACATGATGATAAATCTGGAATAATGGTAGTTATATAATTAGTTTCAAATTGCAAAAAAAATTTCACTTGTTTATACACATTATTCAATAATTAATCATGATTGTATTTTATTTTGCCATTGGTTGACCTTCCTACCAGGAAATTTGCTTACTGATCTAGAATATGTCGATGACATAGTTCTATTCTGTGAAGACGCTGACAAAATGCAGAGTCTTCTGACTACCTACCATAAGCAACAATGCAAGCATGTTCGGGATGCGGTTCTCTTCACCCTCGAAATGCAAAATGTTGCTTCAAGACTGGGTTGCACCGGTACCTGAACTAGTGATAGGGAGTGAAGTAGTCGAGCGTGTTGATCGGTTCACTTATCTGGGAAGTCTCATCAGCGCTGATAGCCTGGTGACTGACGAAATCTCATCGCGGATACAGAAGGCTCGATTGGCTTTTGCCAGCCTGCGTCTTTTATGGCGTAGGCGTGATATCCGTTCGCTAACCAAAGGACGAGTGTACTGCGCAGTAGTTCGCTTCGTTCTCCTATACGGATGCGAAACATGGCCGTTAAGAGTAGAAGATGTTCGTAGGTTGCTAGTATTCGATCATAGATGTTTAAGAAGCATCGCTCGTATATCGTGGGACAACCGTATAATAAATCCTAAGCTCGTCTCACAACCGTATAAGCAATGCTGTCGTTAGGAAACGAGTACTAGGTTAGGCTGGCAAATCAATAGATGAAGTAGTGAAACTTCATCAGTTGAGGTGGTTGGGACATGTGTTACCACCGACTGCCTCGACGAGCTATGTTTTGCAGTGTAGAAGTAGGTTGGAAGAAAGCTAGGGGCGGCCAAACCAAAACATGGCAGAAATTCATGAAGTCAGTGACAAGTGGACTGAGTGATGTTGGTAGATGTAGACTACCTGATTGGGGTCCGCGAGACAAAAGTCACCGATGGTTAGAGACCTTGAATGACATGGTTCAGAATCGTTTGCAATGGCGCAAGTGCATTCATTCTTTGAGCTCTCTCAAATCCTAATCTTCTGGATTCGTCAGCACCTCTACCTTTGTCTTCCTAACCTTATCTCACTGAATTATACTTCTTGAATAATATCTTCAAACCCTAGTCTTCTTCATTACCATTAATTCGTCTACTATCTTTATGACTATGGGATTTGATTTGACAAATGCGTCTCTGTGCTAATGTGGCATGGCGACATGAACTTATGTACATACGTACGAAGTTCTACGTTGCAACTGACTGACTGACTTTGCCATTGGTAAAGTTTATTGACAATTGGACATTTCTTTCAATGATCAATTGATGTAAATATTCAAGTCTTGTCGGAGGAGGTCAATGACGTACGTCTTCAATAGGGTCTTAAACTGTGATCCTTCATGATGTGAATTCTAGTTCACTAGGGAGCTTTTATAAAATTCTCTCTCTTATTAAACCCAACTATTCCTAATGCTTAGAGAGTAATCTCGGATACCAATTCACTCGAGACGTTCTCCTAAAATTAGAACACAGCTTGAACAGAAAAGAGATTATATTCCAGTAACAAGGTTAGATGGGAGTCAAGAAGGTACAAAGGAAAAAGACGTTAGTATTTTATTTATAGTTTTCTTACACGAGAAGATTCTAGAATGTTCCCTCAGCTCTGATTGGATGCGAAAAAGCCAATCAGCATGCGGCTAACGCAGTTATGCTTTAGCCCAATCTATGTCCCACTAACAGGAGCATTAATTCCTTTTAGATTGCAAGTACACCTTGCTGATAAGTCATCAGGTGATGACTATCTTCCAAAAGAACGGCTATCCACGCAACTTCATCAAAAAACATCGACCGAAACCATCATCAGAAGCGAAATCAAGCACAGAAACAAATAAACGCATCATCCTACCATACATAAAAGACATATCGGAACATACAGCACGACTACTGAAACCATTTGGAATAGGTGTGTGGCACACAAACCAACAGAATCACTTCAATCAGTCCTATGTAGACCAAAGGACAAAATGACAAAGGAAGAGAAACCAAATATCATCTACAAAATAAATTGCTCAAACTGTGAAAAACACTACATAGGACAAAGTGGACGACCTCTTCAGCTCCGTTTACGTGAACATCAGTTAGCAGTCAAACGCCACGACAACGCTTCGCTTATATCAATACACACCGACAATTATGGACACACATTTGATTGGAACAATGTGGAAATACTGGGTAGGGGGAGGACAAAGAACACTAGAGAATTTTTAGAAGCTTGGCACTCAGGTCAATTAGCAATCAACAAACACATCGACATTGACCCAATTTATCAATCAATCAGGAAAATCATAGGTGACATAGGATCAAGAAACAGATCAAAAGGGGGATGTAACCAAAACAAATGTGCAAACAACGACAGGTTTAAGGTCAGCAGCAACCAATCAAGATCGAGGTTAGCAGAACAAGCTACAGGTCAAACGTGGAGAAATTCGAATGCTTCACTTCTATCTGAAGTTTGTGCTGATGATGTTGTTCAACAGAAGAACAATGAAAGCTCCACAACCAAAACAACCAGCTCAGAGAACGAAACACCACCACAACTATGATAGTTTGCATGATTTCCTGTTGTGCATATTTAGAACTTGATAAAAGCATAATAAAGTATCAGTGGCATTTAGTAAAAGAAAGTAAACACTTTTTTAAAAGTTGTATTTGAGCAGTTTCATCACACTAGATTTAAAATTACACTATCAAGACACTGTTAATCTTAATTCAAGTCAATAAGTCTTATCAGTCAGTTAGTTACAACCTAGAACTTCATATGTACGTACATCAGTTCAAGTTGCCATACCATGGAATAAGTCTTATAGTAGAATATATTTATCCATCGATTAAGTTCTCTGAAATATGTGTTGTATATCATCAATCATCGCCTACCTTGGTGTGCATGATGGTTAAAGTAAGAGTATAACTCTAAAGACGATCAAATCACAAAGTAATATTAGTCCATGAAGTCATTGACTATTCGTCTGAGTTATGTTAGCAGGTGCAGACTATTTGGTTTAGGTTAAGTTAGTGTGGTGGTGTTTTGTTCTCTGAGCTGGTTGTTTTGGTTGTGGAGCTTTCATTGTTCTACTGAACAACATCATCAGCACAAACTTCAGATAGAAGTGAAGCATTCGAATTTCTCCACGTTTGACCTGTAGCTTGTTCTGCTAACCTCGATCTTGATTGGTTGCTGTGTGTGATAACCGTAATCAGTAGTTGGGAGATGTTGTGTAACATGTCTCAGAATCGGTCTGAACAATACATATACATTCACTGTTTATCATCCCATAAATCTTGAATTCGAGTATTTCCTCATACATCCCTAACAATTTCACTTTTTTGAACTAGATTTTCAATGTTTAGTTTTGTCATTAATCATTCTCGGTACAATTTTCTCAACTTTTTTTCTGAAAGTATTTATCTTGTTAGTTTCGTCTCATCGTGTTAATGTGGCATTGAAAATTAGGCTAATGCAAATTTATATCAATTTCTAAATTAATTTTATAAAACTGATTGACAAATAAATATTCAGCCATTTTGCACAATGTGTTGTAACTTAAAGCCTAATACTTGAATCAGTCAGATGCAATGTAGAACTTCGTACGTAAGTACATCAGTTCATGTTGCCATACCACATCAGCACAGAGATGTAATTGTCAATTGAAATCCAATAGTAGAAGAATATTAGAAGTAATCGGAGAGGTTAGGATGAGAAGATATTCAAGAAATATGATTCAGTGAGAAAAGTTTAGAAAGTCAAAACTAGAGGGGTCGCAGAATCCAGAAGATTATGATTTAAGAGAACACAAAGAATAAATGCACCGGCGCCATTGCGAACGATTCTAAGCCATGTCATTCAAGGTCTCTAACCATCGATTATTATCATCTCGCGGACCCCAACCAGGTAGTCGACAACTACCGACATGACTCAGTCCACTCGTCAACGACTTCATGGATTTCTGCCATGTTTTGGTTTGGCCGCCCCTAGCTTTTTTACATCCTATTCCTACACTACAAAACAAAGCTCGTGGAGGCAGTCGGTGGTTAGGCATACGTAACACATGTACCAACCACCTCAACTGATGAAGTTTCACTACTTCATCTATTGATCTGCCATTCTAACCTAGCACCCGTTTCCTAATAACAGCGTTACTACTACTTGAATCTGTTATAGAACTATGAATGGCTCGAAGTTTTATTAAAAGTCTTTTGATCTATAAGATCCGTTATATCAGGAATGATACAGTTATTACTGACAATACTGATTTAGGATCGTATTATGCTGTCAATTAGCTAAGATTCTCGGTTATGGACCACTGAATTCCAACTCAAAAGTTTAAAATACATGAGGCTTTCCGTGATACATGATGATCTTAGATCTAATCCACTATAAAGTTTTGTGAGTTCGTTATTTTAAGGATGTCGTAAACTAACTAACTATATGTAGTGGATTGTTTCTCTATATTTTCTCAGTACCATTTTTGATTTTAAAATTTGACTGAGTGGGTTTTGTGGGGAACAGTTTAATTTGTAACCATGAATCGATTAATGTTAGACAACCATTAGAAACCTGGGAGCACTGAACGGCCGTTTCGTCCTGGTATGGGACTCATCAGCAGTGCGCATCCACGACTCCTGCACTCCGCAGTATTCGAACCCAGGACCTTCGGTATTGGTCTAACATTGATCGATTCATGGTTTCAAATAAAACTTAACAATCTTCACAACAACCCCGCAATGCAAGAACAGTTTAGTTGGTGGATTTTTTTATTATCACAGACTGATCTCCGGGTATTATTGGAAATCAGGGAGCACTGAACAGCTATTTCTTACTAGTATTTGACTCCCCAACAACAGTCTGATTCGGAATCGAATCCAAGACCGTCAGGTTCGGCAGAAAACTAGTACGGTTGCAACTTTAATCAGTTCACGAGATAGTTTGATGTATCATTCAATACTGTTGATGAGAGCTGTTTTACTTTTGAGAGATGTTTGGACTTCACCAATCACAACCTGTCAGTAGAACTTTAGGAACATATTGAAGTAAGTCACACTAGTGAGCCGACAATTATAGTTGAATTGAAAGAGTTTTAATGGCGGTTTGTTTTAACTAATTGATTTTTTATACTTTCATAGTCTGCAATAGTGGTTTCTTTAATGAGACCAGTTTGTGTTTAATGAATATAAACCTATATACAAATTGTTATTGATTTCTTTCTTTCCATATGTCAAGTCGAATACATGTGAATCAATTTTACAAATACCGGCTGGACAAGGTTTAGAATCGATTAGTTTAGAAAATGCATCCAATACAACTGATAAATATATTTCTGTAGAAGAATTACGCTATTTATTACATGAACGAAATGAATTGAAATGTCGATTAATTGAATTGGAAGAAGAATTAAAAATATTAGAATTAGAAAAGTATGTTTTATCGTATTATACTACTCTTATTATTATTATTATTATTATTATTATTATTGATTTGGGTGGAAGGATAAAGAGTAAGGGAGTTTTTATGATTGAGAGTAGTGATATCACTTGCACAATAGAGAGAGAGAGAGAGAAGGAAAGTTAGTTAATTAATTGTCTACACAATACCCTACCTATCTTGACAATCATCATGTTGCTTGCTAGTAACTACTACTAAAGTCGATAGATGATAATTGCAGGAGTTTCAGTGAACAGTCGTACACAATGAAGTTCAATTTTATACAAATTGATATCATGATTTCCTGATTATTCTCATGTCTGTTTGTCTGTCTGTCTGTCTATCTGTATGAACGATTACATGAAATAAACTTATTATCTAGCTGAATTCGTATTTGGTTTCTTATTCTCACCGTCGTACAAAAAACGAGGTTCGCCTAAGAATGATGTACAGAAATCAAAAGGAAGATTTGAATTGTTCGTAAAAATTGTAGTCAGATTCTGGGCCATGACACAACTACCACGGTGCACAATACCTGTTGCTATTGTAAGCTTGCACATGAAGTCAAAGACGCTTGTGTATCCCCCATAATACACACATTGAGGAATAGACGCTGTGTACCAGTAGGAGAGTAATATAGTTTCTTCTCGTTTGATATTTTGTATGAGTATGAATCCATACATATTTCGATAGAGTAGTAATGGATTAATCTGATTTCCATCTATCCCCCCTCATTTATAGTTTGTGGGATTTGTCTTACTATCTCTCCAGTAGAACGACATAGAGGTGTTGATAAATGTTATTCAGAGTTTTTGAAGATGGGGTTGAATAAACTAGTTTATTTAATATTACCCTACACTTGATTTGATCTTAGGCTTCATTGATAAACCCCTTTTTTTTCTTTCTTGTAACCTATTTTCCCTCAAGTCAAAAAGATCCTGATGTAGAAGGACCTATGTGGCCTGAACCAGCTGAAAAACTTTATCCAACTTGGAAAAAAAATCATCCAACTATTAAAACTATGTAAGAGTTAGTGAATTTTGTGTTTTGATTGTTTTACTGTGCTTTTTTAATCTGCATTACGGGGTTGTTGTGAAGATTGTTAAGTTACACATTTTTGAAACCATGAATCGATCAATGTTAGACCACCATTAGAAACCTGGAAGCACTGCAAGACGGCCGTTTCGTCTTGGTACGGGACTCCTCAGTGGCAGTGCGCATCCACGACTCCTGCACCCGCAGGGTGCGCGAACGTCCTAACCGTTAGACCACTGAGCCGGTATCCGACGGTGTTAATGTCTAACTTGATCAAATTCACGGAGTTGCGCAACTTCATAGACAGTCTTCCGTAGACACTTTTTAATTGACAGAAAAATGAAAATGTTTATTTGTTTGTTTTCATGTTCAAATTAAATTTATAATTCGATTTAAACGAAAAAAATAAATGTGCACACAAAAAAAACGTTTAGTGAATAAGATTTCTTTTATCAATGATTTCATATTTATTCTTCAAGGGTTATTTAATTGTCATGGAGTGCTGATTGATACATACACCGGTCGATTGGTTTTTGCCAACTTGCGTCATTTATGGAGTAGTGGGCAAGATATTCGTGTATCCACTCTTTATGCTCTCTGAAATTCTAATCTTTTGAATTCCTCATCATTTCTATCTTTCTCTTTGTTTCTAAATTTATCTCAATGAATTATACTTCTTGTATCATATCTTCGAACCCTAATCTTCTCCATTACTGCTTATAGGTAGGTGTCTTCAAAGCATTGCTCGTATATCCTCGGACACCCGAGTGAGAAACGCTGTTGTTAGGAAACGGGTGCTAGGTAAGAATGGTAGATCAATAGATGAAGTAATACAACTTCATTAGTTGAGGTGGTTGAGACATGTGCTGCGTATGCCTAACCACCGAATGCTTCGACGAGCTTTGTTTTGTAGTGTAGGAGTAGGTTGGAAGAAAGTTAGGGGCGGCCAGACCAAAACATGGCAGAAATCCATGAAGTCATTGACAATTGGACTGAGTCATGTTGGTAGATGTAGGTTACGTGGTTGGTGTCCACGAGCTGATAATAATCGATGGTTAGAGACCCGTTTGCAATGGCGCCGATGCATTTATTCTTTGTGTTCTCTCAAATCATAATCTTCTGGATTCTTCAACCCCTCTAGTTTTGTCTTTCTAAACTTATCTCACTGAATCATATATCTTGAATAATATCTTCTAATCCTAACCTCTCCGACTACTTCTAATACCTTTACTACCTCTTCTACTATTGGATTTGAATTGACAATTACTTCTCTGTGCTGATGTGGTATGGCAACATGAACTGATGTACTTACGTATGAAGTTCTACATTGCATCTGTCTGCCTGCCTGTCTGTCTGTCTGTTAATACTTCTACTATCTGTACCACTATTGGATTTGAAGGGACAGTTGGGTCTCTCTGTTTGCCAATGTGGTATGTCAGCTTGAACTTATGTAGTACGAACGTACTAAGTTCTACGTTGTGACTGACTGAGAATATTGTAACAGTTTTTAATCTGGAAATGAGTTACATTCAAAATAGAATACAACACTTTATTCAAAAAATTGAACAGATATATGTGTATGTATGTGTTTTTTAAATTCACAATGAAGTTTTAAATTTGCTTGCACGATTCTGAACACATTTTCTCATACTCAGTTGTATCCATCAAATATGTTTGTCAATAACATAATAATAATAATTATTATTATTCGTCATTATTGCTTGAATATTATTTCTAAAGTTACAATTTTATAATACGCCTACTAGAGTTATGGAGATTGTTGAGTTACTTTGTTTTAAAGTCATGAATCGATCAATGTTAGAGCACCATTAGAAACCTGAAAGCACTTGACGAGCGTTTCGTCCTGGTATGGGGACTCATCAGCGATACGCATCCTTGACTACCGCTACTCACAGAAATGAAAGCCAGGACCTTCGATTTTGTACGTGAATGCTTAACCTCTCGACTATTTTGTAATACATAACAATCATGAAACTGTCTGATAGAATTTTCTTGAAAATAAAGATTCTGACATCTAATTAAAACAATTTTAACTAATCCGATTACAACAGTACACCATTTACAACCAATTCACTGAATTCATACAGGCAAGATCATACAAGTTTAATGAATCACTCTTAATACTAAATATTTCAAATTACACTTTAAACATTTTCATCAATAGACTGTTTTAGGTATCTTAGGTATATCTTTCTACCAATAATATCAACAACCTTTGAGCAAATATTTCAGCGACTGTTCAATCAATTATGAATTTTGTTTCATGTTTATTGTTAGGATATTCATTCAATATCGTAAGAGAATTATTGGTCAATTTTTATTGGTCAAAATTATGGTCGTTTTAACTGTCAAACTCAAATACTTAAATGTTTTCTCTTATTGGTCATCCTGACTATCAATGTCACTTCAAACGTTACTTCCAATTGGTCGTCCTAACTGTCAATGTCACAGAATTCGATGCTGTTTCCTATTCGACCAAAATGTATAAATACGCATTATCTGAAACGTTTTATGACCACGACCAGGACCTGGTCCCGGATCGCTAGTCCAGGATACTATTTCTCTTCTGGATTCGAACCTCGTGCTTCTGGATGCTTGTAGAATACAGGTTCTACTTCATATCAAGTCTTCTTATTTTTTTTCTCAATATGGGTGTTGAGATAATCGGATTTGAGTAGCATGTCGTGTCGCCGGATCCTAAATCCTTGCTCTCGTTTTTCGACTAGGTAAACTCATAATAGTTCAAGTATATCAATCTGACGTGTTTACGTGCAGGCATAACATTTATATGCACCAACCAAATCACTCTTGATGGAGATGCCTTGGAGGACGTTGACACCTGTACATATCTGGGCAGCATCATCGACAATCAAGGTGGATCGGATGCAGATGTGAGGGTGCGGATTGGCAAAGCGAGGGCTGCATTTCTACAGTTGAAAAATATCTGCAACTCCAAACAACTTTCAACCAAAATCAAAATCAGGATTTTCAATACAAATGTTAAAACGGTTCTGCTGCATGTAGAGGAAACTTGGAGAAGTAATAAAGTAATCGTCCATAAGATAGAAGTATTCATTGGCAGTTGTTTACGCAAAATACTTCGGATTCGTTGGCCAGACATCATCAGCAACAACGAACTGTGGGAGAGAACAAACCAGATTCGAGTGGAGGAGGAAATCAGGAAGAAGCGGTGGAAGTGGATAGGACACACACTACGAAAAGCACCTAACTTCGGTACAAGACAAGCCCTTACATGGAACCCTCAAGGCAAAAGGAAAAGAGGAAGGCCAAGGAACACATTACGCCGAGAAATAGAGAAAGATATGAGAGGAATGAACAAAGATTGGACAGAACTGGAGAAGAAAGCCCAGGACAGAGTTGGTTTGAGAATGCTGCTGGTGGGTGGCCTATGCTCGATTGGGGGTAACAGGCGTAAGTAAGTAAGTAACATTTATAGTCACTTTTTTTTTTAAAAATCGTCTAACAGATTTTCCATTCTTCTTTTCTTTCTTTTTCTAAGCTTTCAAAATCTTCTACAACGACTCACTGAACGTACAACATCCTTATTATAATCAATAAAAAATAGTGCGTTATTCCTTCCTCTCTCTAACCCCTATTTCCTCCTTTGTTAAATGGATGAAAAACATTCCTACAATAAAACTCGCTTGAGTCAATCAACAATCTATGCTGCATTTATTATTATAATTCTACTGAGTATTTATTGATTTATTTCATCAGTCATGATAAGTTTAAACTGCTTCATTTTGCATGAATTAATTATTTTCAATTGCATAATATACATGAATGATAATGTATTAACAAGAATTATGATCAAAATTATTTATTATTATTATTATTCTATGTGATATGTGCATTTAAACTAAATTTAATTTTTATTGTGATTTTTTTTATGTTGTCTTGTCTTAATGTTTTGTAAAATTTCATTTTTATTTAATTATACTACTTTATTTCAATTATCAGTAGCTTCTCTAGTTATGCTATAATTTATTTCGAAATATATATACGTGTATTTGTTTATAATTTGTTTACTGTCATATAGTTAACTCGTTTTTTTCACTTTAAAGTCTAAACAGTTATACAGAATATATTTCAGTTTTGTGTAGGTTGTATTTCGTACGAGTGATCTTTATTTGAGTACTACTGAAAACCAGATCAATTATCAAATTTTGGTATGAAAACTA